CGCTCAAGTAGTTGTGCGGATAGTGGAAATAGTCCAGAGAAAACAGTTGACAGTACTATTGCTCAGATAATAGGACGTCCCTTAAGGAATGAGTTCAAACCTTTATTTATACATTAGTTGGCATTACTTGAAGATGATTGGGCCTCGGTGGTAGTTGTCTTCGATATTGAGTTCGTGGTCCAGTAGGTAAAGGAATTGTAGGCCCATTGGGTTGGCCCAATTAAGCATATCATTACTAATATTAACGGCGACGCGGTGATTTACACAACTTAGTTATATTAATAGCCAACAACTTAGTCAAAATAAACTCAAGAAAAAATAAAAATAAAAATAGGTGCATCCCACAACACATACACAACTTACACAGACAAGTTGGAAATTTATTTTACAGAGCTTAGTTTCCTTAACGAGCAAAAGTTTAGATTAAAACATGTCTTTCATATAATTTTACTATAAAGTCAGACAACTTAGAAAGTTTATTTGCAAAACTTAGTTACACAACTTAGAAAGCTTAGTTACACAACTTAGATTAAAATAAGCTGAAGAAAAAACGTTAAATCTCTAGTGTGTACATCACCATCACCATCACCAAACAATTCTTCATATTTTTCCGGAGAGCGGAGATGAAGCAGATTTGATGTTGAGTAGCGAGGTTAGACGGAATTTGGCGAATACTAGTTAGGATAGAAGCAATGAAGACGCGTGTGAAGAACAAAAGATTTTTAGACAATTATAGATCATGAGTGTTTTGCAAACTGATATTTCCAAAGAGGCAGGGGAAAGTGCAAAATCATCGGTTTTTCATGGACGTATTTTTAGGTAAAAGAATCATTATAGTTTCAACATCAACGTAATTATATTGTGCGTCCCTATACTATTCCACTTATTCGCTTTTCTGCCACGTATAACAAAATGTTCAAAATATCAATTTGGACAATATCATAACAATATAGAGTTTGTGTTATTTCATATATTTATGTGTATTAATTTGTGCAATATTTTTCACAGTCCAAGTCCACTAAATACAAGGACTCGAGAAAGAAAGTGTCGACAGACCACCATTGGGGTCGAACAAGTATCAATAGTGGCCTTTTAATTTATTTAAGTTTAAATAAAATACCTACTTATTGTATAATCTATTTTTTAGTTTGAAAAGTTTGGCAAAAATCCTACCGTGATTGATACGTATAAGAAAGCCTACATGGGCATTGATGCGTTGAGGGAAACCGGACCATCTATTACTGAGGAAGGAGAGACAGAGCCGTATAACGGGACATCAACTCCTGAACAACTTCTCATTTCGGTAAGTAAAGTGTAATTATATTCTTCAATCGGTAGTATGTTAATTCTTTATATGTTTAGTTGGGATATATGGATATGGATGTGGTTCTTATCTATGAATATGGATATGCTATTGTGGTTTATTATATGGATATTTTAGTTTGTCATGTTAATTGTTTGATATGTTAATTAAGTACAAAGTTTAGATGTGTGGCTATGGATTTTTTTTAATATGTCAAGTTGTTGTGTATTGGTAAGGATTTTTTTGGGTATGCTCGTATTTAGATGTTATGCTGTCGAATTTTTGGCTAAAATTTTGTACATAATCATTTTCAGGCTGATATGGAGCGAGTTTATGATGAGACCATGCGTGATGGAAGTGACGAAAGCACGGCCAACTCGACTGCAGTTGAAAAGGTTTTGGGAAAGAGTAAAGGCCTTGGAATTAAAAGTTCAAGCACAAGGATTGGAAAGTCGAGATTTTCTTCAACACCATCAGACGTAGAGATATCCAAATGGAGATTCAAATGAAGGCAATGCAAGAACAAATGCAAATGAAAGACGAACAAGCTAGTGAATCGATTGGAACAACAATTGCAGGAAACCCGAGAAACAATGCAAGAACAAAATAAAGTAAAGATGAAAAAGTTGATCGATTAGAAAAGCAATTGCAGGAAACCCGATGTATTTTGAACACCTTGCTCGAGCGTTTTAATAGTGGAGTATAAAAACGAGATGAAATTAGTGTGCCTCTTGAACTAATACATTTATGGTTTTGGTTTTTTTTTTTTTTCTTTTTTTTTTTTTTTTTTTTTTTAACAGTTGATTTCATTTTGTAATAGAAAATAATTAAAATAAATAAATTAATTAAAAAAAAAAAGTTTGCGACGAAAACAAAATCATCACAAACAAAAATGAGTACTTGAGACGAAATATAATTCCGTTAACGTCGCCAAAATAATTAAAGTCGGCGACGAAAACAATATTTAGTCGCCAAAAGATTCAGTGAACTTGCGACGAAATACGCAATTTCGTAGCAACCACTGGCGACGAATATGCATTATCCGTCGCGAATAATAAAAAATATTTTTTTTCCAGAAAATACGGTTTTAGCGACGAAGTTGTGTTTTCGTCGCCAAACCTGGCGTCGCAATTGTATTTTCGTCGTTGACTTTGCGACGGGGCGTTTGGCGTCGATTTTTGACTGATTTGGCGACGAAAACAATACGTCGCTAATCGTGATAAAACGTCGCTAGGAGATATAATTCGTCGCGAATGTTCGTCGCCAGTCTTGCGTTTTGGCCTAGTGCTAGAACAGTTATATTAACAAACAAAAATCATTATTATTGAGTAATAGAGTAATATTAACATGTTGACCGTTCAACAAAGGCAAACATAATAAAAATACAAATATAATATTGATGTGGTTGATAATAATATTACTGTCATTTCATGTAATATTACTGTAACGATAGAAATATTACCGTCAACCACAGTAATACTATTTTGTTTACAGTATTATTACAATAGTAGACTGTAATATTATTGTGTTCAAAGTATTATAACAATAGTAGACAGTAATATTATTACATTAATCGGTCAACAAATCAAATAAAATAAAAAGGCCAAAAAAATAATAATGATGTAGGTGACTGTAATATTATTGTGTTTATAGTAATTTTACCGTCAGCGACAGCGATATAATTACATTGACTTATCAACCAATCAAACAAACAAAAAAAAAACAAAAAAATAATAATATTGTTGTGGTTGACAATAGTTGTACTGTCAACGACAGTATAGTTACAGTCACCGTTCAGCGGCAGGCATATAAAAAACGTATAAAAGTGTTAGGAATTTTTTGTAATAAAAGTCAACGTCGGATAGAGCGTCGAAAACTGGCGGCGGAAAAGCTAACAGACAAAAAAAAAACTCACGACGCAAACCGACGGCAAAAAAAAAAAAAAAAAAACAAGATAAAAAAGAAGTCAAAATTGATTAAATTAAGGGGTAATGGCAAATAGGCCCTGACAAAGGCACTTAATTAAAAGAGGGACATCCAATTTTTTTGTCTTTCAAATAAATCCAGCCCATTCAAACTTATTTGCAAATAAGGAAAATCTTTTTATATATACAAAAATTACCCCCAATTCATTGAAACCCAATTTAACTCCAATTTCATGATTTACACCCCAATTTAGCCCAATTTCATCAATTAACCAATTTTAACCCTAATTTCAATTTTGACCCCAGTTTTGACCCGCCACCACCGGAGACCGCCAGTCGCCGCCGTTGACCGGCGTTGACTTTTTTTTCTATTTTTCTTTTTTTTTTTTTGAAATTTTTTTTTTCCTGAATTTTTTTTCCGGCCGGTCTCCGGCGTTGACTTTTTTTTTTTTTTTTAATTTTGTTTTTTCTTAAAAAAAATATTTTAATTAATATTACTGTCTTGGCTGCTAAATTACTGTCTTCGGCATTTATTTAACTGTCGGAGACAGTAATTTAACTATTAATTGGCTCTTTTTTTTTCTTTAAAAATATTTTAATTAATATTACTGTATTCATTGCTAAATTACTGTCTCCAGCAGTTATTTAACTGTCGGAGACAGTAATTTAACTGTTAATTGACTTTTTTATTCTTAAAAATAATATTTTAAATTAACATTACTGTATTCGTTGCTAAATTATTGTATCCGGCAGTTATTTAACTGTCGGAGACAGTAATTTAACTGTTAATCGACCTTTTTTTTTCCTAAAAAAATTATTTTAATTAATATTACTGCCTTGGATGTTAAATTACTGTCTCCAACAGAGTAATTTAACTGTCTTAGACAATAATATTAATAATATTACTGTTCGGAAAAATAATATTCATAATATTACTGTCCCAAACAGTAATATTACTATCTCAGACAGTAATTTAGTAGCCAAGACAGTAATATTAATTAAAATATTTTTTTTTCTAAGAAAAACAATTCAACAAAAAAAAAAAAGCCAACGCCGGAGACCGGCGGTCAACGGTGGTTGACCGGTCGAAAAAAAATTTCAGGAAAAAAAAAAAGTCAACGCCGGAATCTGGCCGGAAAAAAAACATTTCAGAAAAAGAAATTATTTTCTGAAAAAAAAAAAGTTTTGGGGGTTAATGTGATATATTTGTTTAAATCCGGGGTCAATGTGTAATATTAAGGAAGTTAGAGCATAATGGGTGGAATTGATAAGAATTATATTATTGAGGGTATTTTAGACTAAAGACATGGGGATGAGCTTAATTCAGAGCTGTTTTCTTTGTGGACCAAAATGCATTTAAGTCCCATGTGATGGATCTTTTTGCCCATTTGCGCTTAAATTAAAGTTAAATTAGGGAATTGAGTTTATAGCGGTGGGGGTTTAATCGTATACATTAATTTTATATTTAGTTATAACACCTGAACACTTGACATAAAAATTATTATTGGCCAAAGATATATATAACACCCGAACACTTGACATAAAAATTCTATATATATATATACAACTAACCTGCAAGTGTGCGGGGTACAATTACAATCAACATTATTTTTTTGTTTGTTTCAAGAGAGAGAGAGAGAGAGAGAAGAGAGAGAGAGAGAGAGAGAGAGAGAGAGAGAGAGAGAGAGAGAGAGAGAGAGAGAGAGAGAGAGAGAGAGAGAGAGAGAGAGAGAGAGAGAGAGAGAGAGAGAGAGAGAGAGAGAGAGAGAGAGAGAGAGAGAGAGATGCACAATAATATGGGTTGCCTAACTCATAAGGTTCTTGTGTTGATAATTGCTTCAGCATTGGGGGCATCGTCACTGGCGGCAACCACCGTACCGGAGCAGCAGAAAGCGGACAGGGTGGGGCGGCTGCCGGGGCAACCACCGGTCGGTTTCAAGCAATACGCCGGTTACGTCACTGTTAACGTCACTCATGGAAGAGCACTCTTCTATTGGTTCTTTGAAGCCACCACCAATCCTCACCAGAAACCTCTCCTCTTGTGGCTTAATGGAGGTATATATATATATATGCTTCAAATGTTGGGACCAATTAATTATAATTTATACACAATTTTCATATATCATGGGACAATTAATTATATTAATTTAATACACAATTTTCATATATCATATAAGACTTTTATTGCATGTTGTAGGGTAAATTATACAAACATGTAATAAAAATCTTAGGGTTAATTATGAAAAAACCTCTTGAACTTAGGCTAAATAACCAAAAACACCCCTACCTATTTGTAAATACCAAGGTTGTAAAAAACGGAAATCGGGTCGGAGGCTGTTGGGCACCAACTCAGGATTAATCGGTGCGGCGGTGATTAGCCGACGATAAATCGGTTTTTAAAATTTAATATAATATATTTCTAGATATTATTTATAAATACTCAAAATATATATACAAAAATATTTAAACGCAGTTATATCTCCATCATGTATATATCATACTAACATAATAAAAGTTTAGTAATAATAAGATTATAAGACAATAAAAATCCTTATAAAATATAAATAAGAAGGCAATTTTTTTAAATTTAAATTTATTCTTGAACCTTGCAAGCATATATCATTAGTGTTTTCTAACAATAACCGTTAACATAAACAAAATAATACATAAACTCGTATTTTTATTAAAATCCCAACTATTATTTTGAATTAAAAAGGATAAAAAGATTAAAAAATAAATAAATAAAAAAACGATTTTTGATCAATTTTCGCCCCCAAAGTTTGCCCGGCCTTCAAGGTTTGACTGCCTCGGACAGCCTCAACCCGCCTCACAGGCCAAAACCCGATTTGTCAAACATTTACACCAAAATCGTAAAGGTTTGGGACCGCTTCCGCCTCGAATACCGATTAATCGGCTCCCTCGATCGATTTTTAGAACACTAGTAATTACCAAATTCCCCTCTGATTAATTGTTGATCGAGTTTGTTAACATAATTAAAATATGTACAGTTTATATACCTTATGTTACATAGGTGAGAAATAAAAGAAAATATTTCAAAAATTGTGTAAATTTTATTCCCTGGAATCAAAAAAATCCGTGAAAAATCACACTGTAATGTGTTGGTGTAAGACGGAAACAATCCTTAGGAGATTTTTGATAATTACGGATAAATATGGGTAGTTTTTGTTATTTAGCCTAAGTTCATGGGTTTTCGTAATTTACCCAAAATCTTATATACAGAAAATATTTACCGGAGGGCACATGTTTTGCTGGAAATAAACTAGGGTTTGACTTACATGATAAGTGAACTACTATAAGAAATAATAAACAAAACGTTTTAATTCGAATACGAGATTCTTTGCCAGCACAGATTCAATTAAATAACATGGAAATGCAGTTGCACTTCTATTTAATTTTTAAAGTCAAATTGTGACGTAGGGAGATTAAACAAATTATTGTGTGGAACATAATTAATGTAAATTACTTATTCTAAGGCAAAACCAATCATTTATATGCAATTTTACCTTTATCTACTCCCATTTGTTGTTGCTAAAAAAAAAAAAAAAAAAAAAAAAAAAAAAATCGTTGTACAAAAGAAGTACGTACAGTAAAATATCGTTAAATTAATAACTTCGCTTAAATAATAATTTTTGTCGGTTCTGACTCGGTGAGAACGTAACGTGCTAAAATTATTAACTCGATAATTAATTAATATTTTGTTAAATTATAGAATTTTTAATAGTCCCAACTGTATTAATTTATAGAAGTTTAACTGTATTTGTTTCAATTTTAAATTAGAGTTAAAAACTTTTAATCATTTTCTATTTATTCCACTTGCAAGAAAATATTACTCTAATAATGTATGTTGTAATAATGATCTTATTTTTTTCTTAAAATAAATATTTTGCTAAAGACGAAGTAAAAACTCATTTCATCGTTGATTTTCCGTAGGTGAAGCCATGTTTTCTTATAGTAGTACGTGTTAATTTTCTTTCAATAATTAAATAATATAAAGGTAAATTTCAGGTCCGGGATGCTCGTCAATAGGATACGGGCAATCGGAAGAGTTGGGACCTTTCTTTCCTCAAAAGGGAAAACAACCAAAACTTAAATTTAACAGCAACAGTTGGAACAAAGGTACGTAAATCGACCAAATTAAAGTATATTTAATTATTGTTTACGTTCGCCTTCAATTTTTGTTCAATTAATTGCGGGTTTTTTTTTTCTCCCTCGTGTAGCGGCCAACTTACTATTTATAGAATCCCCCGTTGGTGTTGGATTTTCGTACACAAACACAACTAGTGATATTGGTGAACTCGGTGACACTATCACAGGTACGTACTAATTGATTTTTCGAGCAAATTTAATATAAACATTATATTCTATTAATCCTTATTTCTAATGAATTAATACATTTTTTATTTAATTACGTGATTAGCCCTGGATTCATATAACTTTTTGTTGGGCTGGTTTGAAAGATTTCCACAGTTCAAATCCCATGACTTCTTCATTGCTGGCGAAAGTTATGCAGGTATATTTTTTTATTAAATTAAATCAAATCAAATTTAATTTTATAACTTTTTTTTAGAAGTATATATATATAGTCACAAGTACAATTGGTTATTTGTTTTTAGGGCACTATGTGCCTCAGCTAGCGGAACTTGTTGTAGACAAAAACAAGAATGCAACCAAAGATGATTATATCAATATCAAGGGCATTATGGTAATTGTCAATTATTAATTTTTAATTATTAATTATTAATTATATTAGTCCTTTTATTTGGTTCAAAAATAACTAAAATGTTCATTTTAATTTTATATATATGCAGATAGGAAACGCGGTTTTGGACGACGAGACGGACTTCAAAGGGCTGATCGACTACGCATGGGACCACGCAGTTATATCGGATGCATTGTACAGCCAAATACAGAAAACATGCAATTTCAGCACCCCTAATTTCAATTTCACCAAAGAATGCGACGACGCTCTCGACGAATATTTCAGCGTTTATTACATCATCGACATGTATAGTTTGTACGCTCCTACTTGCGTCGTCGATGCAAATACAAATTCCACAACAAAACCACGCGTTCCAAGGCTTCTAAAGTCGAAAATCGCGAGTCTTTTTTTTTTCTTTTAATTTTTTTAAATATATAGATATAAATATTATGTATTTTTTTTATGGATTAATAATTAACAGAACGGAAGGCGGATGAGGAGGCCGTTATCGGGATACGATCCTTGTTTATCGGAATATACCGAGTTGTATTTAAATAGGGCTGATGTTCAAAAAGCACTTCATGCTAATGTTACGAAAATCCCTTACCCGTGGGCGCATTGCAGGTATATTGTCGATTTTCATAAAAAACAATAAGATGAATTACAACCACCCCTGAGGTATGGTCAAATTACGGAAACCCCCTCTTATTTGGGTAATTACAACCACCCCCTCAGTACTATAAATATTCTTACACGTCCATCCTTGCGGTTTCACATTCAGTAGAATCTTCTAGATTATATGGAATATTCTCAATTTTGTACCCGTTTGATTGCATTCGGGCTCCACATTTTGAAGCAAGATGATCATAAGATGTGTTTTTGGTTTGTATATATCAGATTGTGGTGCATCAAAAACTGTATTTTTGCACAAAACGAGTAGAAACTAGAGAACATTCCACGAGAATCTAGATGAATATGTTGAATTTGACACCATAAGAGTGGAGGTGTAAGAAGATTCATAGTTGAGAGGAACAAATATAATTATCCAAACATAATGAGTTTATTCTTAATTTGACCATACCTCAGAGGTGGTTGTAATTTACCTAAAAATAAAAATGGTTGGAAAATCGATTAATTAATTGCGATATTAATTAATTATGGAATTATACAGTGACAATATCACTTTCTGGAATGACGCACCGATGTCCGTACTCCCGATAATCAAAAAACTTATTGCTGCGGATCAACGAGTTTGGATTTTCAGGTAAGTAATTTGCAAGTTAGTTTACTAACGGATCGACTAGCTATATATAACATCTTTTAATTAAATTTGTGTAAAATTCATTTCGCACCCATGTACTATGCAAAATGTATCATTTACCCCCTAAAGTATAGAAAACATCAAATACTCCCTGCCGTTAGCCTTTTTCCTTATTTCCGTTAGTCAAACTCTTTGACCGACTATTGCAAACAAATGTTGGCTCTTTTTTTGACAAAATTATCCCAAAAAAATTCTATATAGGTTGCTTAGTTTTGACAAATGCTCGCCAGATTTTTTCACTTTCTCAACCCTTTTTTTTCACTTGATTCAGTCAATCATTTTCTTTTTTACTATTTTCAGCTATTTTTCTTATAAAAAAACTGAAACGTCGAATAAATAAGAATGACGCTTCGCAGATTATGAATGTAAAACCCACAAAAAAGAAAATTAAAATCCCTGAAATCTAAAAGAAACCCTAAAATTGGTATGAAAGAATTGCAAATTAAAAACAAAGTTTTTCATATTATAATGGGAAAATCCTCCGAAAAAGAAAACTGAAAATCCCTAAATCAAATACTAAAAAAAAAAATGCCATAATTTGAACGAAGGCTAAAAATCGTCAGCAATCCACAAAACATTCGTATATCATACATAAAGCAAGGTAAAAGAGTCATTGCACACTCAAATTTAACACCATTAAAAGTCTGACCATTGACCGTTAAAAATAGGGGGTGTTTGATGTTTTCTATACATCGGGAACATGTAATACCTTTCACATAATGTAGGGGTGCGAAATGAATTCTACCCATTAAATTTTCGGCATTTCACTCCGTAAAATATTTTTTTCTTTGTGTGTTGAATATTGAATAGTGGAGATACAGATGGTAGAGTTCCAGTAACAGGAACAAGATACTCTCTGCAGAAGTTGGGATTAACTATAAAAAATGATTGGACTCCTTGGTACACTTACAACAAACAGGTTCGTATTTAGCACCGCTAATTTGAGAAAATTATATTTTTCACCCCTCAAATTTACCTCAATTCCACATTTAGTCCCTCTTGTTCATAAGAAACAGATTCAGTCGTCCTCCTGTTTCAATAATTTAATATTTATGGTCATTTTCGTCAATTTACCGTGAGTCCGTCAGTCTACATGATTTCGTAATTAAATATTTATGGTCATTTTCGTCGATTTACCTTGATTTCATAAAGTACTAAAGGAAAATTAACGAAAATGACCAAAAATCTTAATTTTTGAAACATGAGGGATTTTTTATTTATTTTTTTGAACAAGAAGGACCAAATAAAAAAACCAAGGCAAACTTAAGGGACGAAAAGTATATTTGTTCCCGTTAGTTTTATCAATATAGCTAAACTAGCCTTTTATGTATATATATAGGTCGGAGGATGGACTGTTGAGTACGAAGGGTTGACATTCGTGACAGTGAGAGGAGCAGGGCACGAGGTTCCGACATTTAAGCCGAAGCAAGCACTTCAATTGGTTAACCATTTTCTCAAGGATCAAAAACTTCCATCTCAACCATTTTGATTTGTCGGCGCACATTTCTTGATCGATCATTTCCAATAACATGTAACGAATTCAAAGTTTGATTCCTATCTTTTTTTTATCTTGTTTTGTTCATATATGATTCTTCAATGTACATGTATACATGTTTGGTTTTTCCTTTAATCATCTTGCATTTGTAATTTCGGTACAAAAATGAACCTTAGTAAACTAAAAAGGTGCACTTGTGTTGCAAAATATACTTGTACAATGTACTTTAATAAACTTTTCTATTTATTTTCGTATGGATTTTACTTGGTCTATTTTTTATCGAAATGATATTAGAGTGTGTTTGGATGGATGGATTTGGGCTTGCATAAACTGGATTGAAGCGATGCACGTTATGTAGCGGAAAATAAAAAAAATCACATAAAGACACTTCATATTATTAAACATACGAGCATATATGATTAATTCCGTACCTTAATCGCTTCCGATCACGAACAAGCATGCATAATCTAATTTAGAATTAAATAACAACATTTAAATCATACATATGAGCATGCTTGGGAATTAGAAATTAAACAACATACAATTCAATTTCAAAAAATATAAATTGACATTCAATTTGACGCAAATAAATTATCACACAATTCATGATTATATAATTTAATTCGCGAGGCTCGAATCTTACATTCAAAGCGTGAGACTCTGAAAATGATTCATTATCCGAGGACGAGGCAGGCGGGCAGCAGCGTGGCGGCGCGTGGCTTGCAAGGGCGGCGGTGTGTGGTTGGCAGTGGTGCGTGGTCGGCAGCGGTGGTGGATTCTAGCTTTCCTCTCCAATTGGATTTCACTTGCAACATCTAAACCCACCAATTCTATAGCACTACAGAAGAGGTTAAAAAAACAACGATTTCAATTCCGGTTCTAAAACCGTTGACCCCGGTTCGGTTTCGGTTCTAACCGAACTGGTGGTCAGATCTACCAATGGGCCAAGTATTGGGCCCGGGCACACCATTTAGTCCATTTTCCACTAATAAAATTTCGAAGGGCCTCTAACAATGATCAATCTCACATGTTGAGTAACTATCAAACTTCATAAAATATAATAAAAATAAAGACAGAACATCAAAGACTTGGGATGATCATTAGACATCATAACAAGATGGTACGAGACAAAATAGATAACATCAACACCAACATCAAGACAATAACAAATACCTTTTTTTCTTTTTCTCTTTTTTTCTTTTTAATTTATTATCTATGGCCCGGTTTGGTTGCAGAAATTAGACAAGATTAACTAAATAGTAAAGTTTAGTTTTATGTTTGGTTATCCATCGACCAGCCAAAATAATTTTATACCGATCTATCATTGCTAACTGGGAGATAAGTAATAAGACATTAAGAGGTCCAATAAAATTATTGTGCTATGATAAGATATATTAATGACAAAATTGTCCCTTCTAGTTTTCACATCTCGATCAGAATAGCACATACAATTAAAAAAAATAAACAGTATAAAATAAAAATAAATTAATTAATTAAAAAATAAAAACAAATCAAAGATTATTTCAATTTTTTTTTGTTTGAAAATTTTAATAAGAAGAAAAAAAACAAATTATATTTTTGAAGGACATAATCCACTTCGCACCCTTAAAAAAACCAAGTTTTGCACTTCACCCCCTGCAATTACAAAAAAGAGACTGTGCCCCTTCATAATGCAAAACAATGTGCACATTGCCCCAAAAGTTGATTATGTTCAGAATTTTGCCGGAACTGCAATTTATTAAAGGGTCGGTGACGACTCGCCGCTAATCAATTTGCTCCGCCGCGCCTCGAAATCGTGGCCAGTTACAACGTCAGCCTGCCCATTTGATAAAATCGAGCTGAATTAGAGTTACCAACACCGGCCCAGATGTGATGACCGATGACGTAGCCGATTTGGCTATTGAGTTGGCGCTCGCAACATTGAGGAAGATTAGCACCTCTGATTAATTTGTGAGAAGTCGGTTATGGAGATCAAATGGAAATTTTGAAATGTACTATGAATTGGGGAGTTTCTTTTTTGATTTTGGTCAATTCATGTGGTTTATAATTTTTGTTTACCTTATGCCTCACGTAACCAAACTTTCAATCCGGCATTCAAATTGGAAATTTTAGTTCGATTCTAGCATAATAAAGTGACGAAAACGATATTTCCAACGAAGTGACGAAAACACCCTTTAAAAAATGAAATTTTAGGGAAATTCCGGTGAAATTGTGGACGGAGTCAACCTTTGGAGCAATGTGGGGCACAATCTCTTGTTTGTAATAAGGGGAAGTGCAAAAGTGATTTTTTTAAGCGGGCGAAGTGCATTTTGTCCATTTTTTAAATAAATAAAAATATTTAGAAAAATAATTTTTTTATTAATATTTCAAAAAATAATAATAAATGAAATTTATTTCGGATTGTTTTAAAAAAATAGAAATTAAAAAATATATTTTGTTTTGCAAAAAAATCAAATAATAAAACCAAATAGAAAAAGAAAATCTGAAAAATTTTAATTTCGTTTTTTTTTATAGTAAAAAAAGATGTCAAAAATAGTATATTTTTTTTGAAAAAAAAAATAAAAAAGAAAAAAATATATTTAATACAAAAAAGAAGAAGAAAAAGGTTATGAATAATAAGAAATTGTAATTTGTCGGTAATCTTTTAGCAATTGGATTGATGTTAAGGAAACCAGAACTCAAAAAATATTAAATAATGAGTATAGAAAAAAATCAAAAAAATGATAACAAACAACTTACAAATAATATACCTATTATTTTATACGGACAATATCTTATTTAGATTTATCTTATCTTGACAACCAAAGCGGGCCTACGACGATAACAAATGCATCAGGCATATCTGAGCTCGTATAGTGATAATTGTTTGAAATCTTAACAATGCAAAAGGAAATAGGGATAATTTTCCTTGCGCTTATTATTCAGTGTACTTTCAAATGGCTGAGAAACTTTGAAAAAAAACATTTGCACATTGACATTCGTAACTTATATTTCGATCGATTTTTTTGAATTTTGTAGGGAAATTAATCTAAAGATTTCAAAATCAGTATTTTTGGGATTTCAAATCTACCTTAATTAATTCGAAATCAAATTTAGATTGGGATCCAAGTATATAAAATCCATTACAAAAATAAATTGAAATAAATCATTTTTTTTATGAGTTTGAGATTTTTAATTCCAATTACAAATCTACTGACAATATTATATATATATATATATATATATATATATATATATATATATATATATATATATATATATATATATATATATATATATGGGGTCTTTACAAATAAGGTGGTGTTTGCAAATACTTTTTGAAAGTGATTATGCGGTTTTTTTTGTTCATAATTTATTTTTAGGTGTTTGCAAAATCAACTTTTGCTTTTGCTTCTCTTAAAATAATCTGCTTTAAGCTATTTTTTTAAAAGCACCCATAACCCTGCTTTTTCAATTTTAGTTCATTTTCCGAAATATTTGCAAACACCCCCAACTTTTAGAAATAAACACTTAAAACTAACTTAAATCACAATCACTAACTTCTGCTTTTAAATAATCATTTGCAAACACCACCTAAGTCCATCAATGGATACTTATTCATAAAGAGATCAAGACAAAAATTCATTTACCATTTACAAATAAGTCCACACATGGTCCATATTTTTGTAAAAGACTAAAATAGCCCCTCATACTTTAATATGCTCTAATTTCATCATTAATTTAATTTAACCTCAATTTGACCCCAAATTTTATAAATTATTCAATTTTGACCCAAACATTTTTTTTTCATTTTTTTTTTGGTCTTTACAAATAAGTCCATCAATGGGTAGTTGGGTACTTATTCATAAACATATCCAGACAAAAAACTCGTTTACAAATAAGTCCACACATGATCCAGATTTTTGTGAAAGACTAAAATAGCCCCTCATACTTTAATATGCTCCAATTTCATCTTTAATTTAATTTAACCTCAATTTGACCCAAATTTCACAAATTATTCAATTTTGACCCAAAACTTTTTTATTTACAAAAAAAAATGGCCGCCGGATTCCGGCATTTAGTTTTCGATTTTTTTTTTCTTCCGGATTTTTTCGCCGGTTTCCGGCGTTGACTTTTTTTTTTCCAGTTTTTTCCGCCACCAGTTTTCGGGGTTGACTTTTTTTTTCCCTGATTTTTCCGCCACCAGTTTCCGGCGTTGACTTTTTCGATTTTTTTTCTGTAACATTTTTATTTTATTTTAAACAACAATATTGTTGTAATTGACAGTAATATATATTACTGTTAAACACAGTAAAATTAACCATACTACAGTAATATTGTTATATTAATCTCTAGCACAGTAATATTAACACAACAAAACTCATTATTATTGTGTAATAGAGTAATATTACTATGTTGATCGTTCAACCAATGTAAACATAATAAAAAGCCAAAAGAATTAATATTACTGTGACTGACAGTAATATTACCATAACAACAGTAATATTACCGTCAACCACAGTAATATTACAATAATAGACAATAATATTAATACGTTACTCCACGAATAACTCAAACAAACAAAAATATCCAAACAAATTAATAATATTGATGTGGTTGAAAGCAATATTACTATAACAACAGTAGTATTACCGTCAACCATAGTAATATTATTGTGTTTACTGTAATATTACAATAATAGACAGTAATATTATTA